TCTTAAAAGTACTTCATAGGAATCTGAAACTCCTCACTAGAAATACAAAATCTAGCAAAAAGCCGCTTTATTTAGGGTCTTATATTTTTGTGGTGTTCAATTTTCGTGGATTAAAAAAAATGTATTTTGTGTATAGGAACAAGTCAATTAATCTACTTACTGGCCACAGTTTCATTAATCTTCCTTAACAAAAGGAATTTTCCTTAATTTAAAATTGCCCATAGGAATGCATTACATAAGTTAATGAAATTTCTTTTAATTCAACTTTTTCCTTAACTGACATAATGTTTTTATCATGGTAGCTATGTTTGTTCTGAAGTTAAGGAAGACTCTCGAAAGTTGGGCCTGTTATTTTTATTTCAAGAGTTCATGCCCATATCAATTTGTGGATTAAGAGTACAATTTGTACAACGAAATTAAGCGAAAAGTAAATCCCCTACAAAAACATATTATTTTACAGTAATTAAGCATACTGAAATAAGCTTTCATATAAAAAATTCCAAGGCATTTCAATAAATAATATTGGAGAGAGGGGAGTGGGGGTTTAGTAACCAACAGTGTCTGTAGAAGAAAATGGATTCCAATAAATCAGAATTCATACAAAAATAGCATTACAGATACTGGTCGACATGATATGCTCTACTTTAAGGATGATTAAGGAATATCTAAGCTATCTACCATTTACAACATAAATAATATATATACACTCATCAAACTCATGCATAATACAAACTAACCAACAAACAAATAAGTTAGAAATAAATATTCATGAAATGAGTTACAGTAAAATGTCTTCTCGTAGGGTAAATGTCAGAATTAGGAAGTGTCAAATACAGTTCTAAGACAGGTTACAGTGTAATAAGTTGCAGTAAGATAACTATCAGAAATAGGAAGTGTCATAAAAAGTTCTTTGACAATTTACAGTATAACGACTTGCAATAAAGTATCCATCAGAATTAGGAAGTGTCATAAAAAGTTCATGAAAATTATGAACCAGTGACATCAAGGATTAAAACTGAAACAAAGAGAAAGAGAGAGGGAGGGAGACAGAGAGGGAGAGAGAGAGAGAGAGAGAGAGAGAGAGAGAGAGAGGGAGAGAGAGAGAGAGAGAGAGAGAGAGAGAGAGAGAGAGAGAGAGAGAGAAAACAAACATGCCCATACATTCAAGATGAAGAAACCTGAAATTATGAAAAGGACTATAGTTTCCTGTCGATATAAGAACTTCTAAAATTATGAAATGGACTATAGTCTCCTGTCAATATCAGAAACTCTGAAATTATGAAAAGGCTTATATTTTCTCGTAAACTTTATTTTCAAGGTATTTATTTTTCATGTTTGATAACAACTTTGCAGTATGTTGTTATTTCTTGTTATACATGTACACCTGGCATTTTCTGACTTTATCTTTTGTACCTGACATACCTGTGGTATTTCTTTACCATCAGGTACTCCTGGTTAAATTAGTTTAAAATTCCTGCATATTTACAGAAATTCTTTTCCTCATATCCCTTGTGTGGGACATAATTTCCTACTTTTACAAATCTTGATCCCCCTTTTGCAATAAATATTTCCTCTTGAGAATAGCGCTCATCCTCTCTGCAGTACATAATTCTGTGCTTTTTACAAACCTAATCTTTTTTATCCAATAATAATTTCCTCTCAGGCACAGCCCCTATTCTTTAAGTGTGACATAATTCTTTGTTTATATAAAACTGAATCCCCTTTTCCTGTAATACTAATGCTCTAGACAGAATTTTAGTCAAAATCACCCTGCCGTACTGTACAAATAGCTTCTAAGTAGAAAATTTACAAATAAAGATTGTTCTCCGACTAATATCAGCTATAATTATTATGCTGGAAAAGGTCTACAAGACATTAATGCCTCACTCACATGCAGACCAGCTGATGACTCTTTATCAATAGTCATCATGACTTGACCTTTGAACCGAAGAAATAAACATATCCTCGCTATGTCAACACAGCAGACATTTGTTAAAGTGATGGTAAAGTAATGCCATTGATTTCAGAGGAACAGGTATGAGACTGCCATTGGGGATAATTCCATATATCAGTAATTCAATGTAAACGCATTTAGCATTTCATATATAAATCTCCAAAACTGTGGCATTTTTGTAATTATCAAATATACGATATTAAAATGCCAAAATTAAAAAAAAAAAAAAAAAAAGAAAAGAAAAAAAATGTGAGCAAGTACAAGATGCGTATATATGTAAAATGACTGGGATGCGTATATAAATGTGTTGGTTTTTACCCTGTCACACTATAATGTAACTTATATATCAGTTTAATTAAATGCAATCATTATATAAGTCTAAATTTTCCAGCAAATCCTTGGTATATATACAGTAACATATGGCATATGTCTGTAATTAGACCATCCTTATGGCAATAGGACGATAACAGTAAAGCAACAATTGATACAATGATGTAAAACTTTCACATTTTCATACATGAAGCTTAATTGCAAAACAATAATTAAGGTTCAGCATTATATGTACAAGGGACATAATCAAAATTGGCAAGGGAGGTAATAATTCAGTGTTGCAATGCTGTAACAGATAACACACACATTCACTCACATATATATACATCATAATTAATTAAAATGCTTTCCAATTAAATCTGTAGGTTATATCATTACTTACTTCAACCTTATTATACATATTTTTTGTTGATAACTTGATTTAATGAAACCTGTCCACTGTTTATTTGTACAATGTGACTATTACTAATGACAGTTCATAATAGACTGATTCCCATTTATTCCCTTTAAACACCTTTCCCAAAATTCTAGTGTTAAACATAAGGAGGATTAAATAATATTCTATAAAGTTATAAGACATTTATACACTCCAGTAACCACTTCACTTCAACAGGGCATATTTTGGTGACTTTTCAGGGCCAATATAGGGTCCCATTCCCAATTGAAGTTATTTATATTGAGGTAAAAATCTCAACATTTGCTATTTACTCCTGAAGATTTCCTTCCCAATTCGCCAATACTTTTCAAAATGATGTAAAAATGCCCCATCCTGAGCAAGTAAAAACAACTCCTAAATATAAATGCTTAGTAGAACTGCCTTGGCAGACATCACAATGAAATATTTGATGTACGAAGTTTTAAATTTGTGTTCTTTTTCTCCTTTCAGAACCATTTTAAAACATACTTAAATACATGTTTGAAATTCTTAATGTATCTTTCTCACCTAGACTAGAGATACATGTGTACACTGACAGCCAGTGATATTCCACTGTACATGCATTGTACAACACCAAGGCTGCAACTTTTAAGCTTTTTAAAAACATTTTCATATCTAAAATAAAATCTGTATCACCATTCTATCTGAACAATATCACATTGTTTCTGTAGTACAACATATATAGCTTACAACAGTTAGAAACTTTGAATACATGATCCCAAAGACAACCTCGTCAGATGTTTGAATTAAAAATCTCCAGTATTATCACCTTAACTACAGCATGATTTACTGAAAATTCATAAAATTTTATTGACAAGATAGCATAGTCTATTGGATTAAATAACAGGCCTTATAAATTCTCTCAAATCAATGAATTAAGAACTTACTTCTATCTATATATACCTATTTATACCATTTCCTCTTCACATATTGAACTTTTCAGACCCATTTCAGAAATGAACACGAAGATCATTTATTAACACTGCTAGCAATTTGACTCAATTTCTGAGGGAAGCATATTTCTCCATTGGCTTATTTCTACATTATATAATCATTTATTTATGGAATTTCTTTTTTAAAAAAATTCCACAACATCACAAAATTAAGGCATATCTAATTCTGATGGCACAGTAAACAAACATCGAATGAAATCTAAATACAGTGTAGAACACAGCGTAGTAAGTATGTGCAATTTCTTTGATACCAATTTACCTATCAAACCAATTCAGGCTTTCTTTGTTCGAGCACCATCTGTAGAGATAGGCAAGAACACAGTAGTGTTGTTAGTAAATATTTGTATCGTCTGTAAAACATAGTAAAAGAAAGCTGTAGACTAAATATCACCACTCATTGTAGAATATAGATTCAGCAAGTACTGGATTTTATCCTAGAATACTGTTTCCATAACAGAGGCTTTACTCTGTATTTTGAATTTTTTAACCTTCTCTGAATTAATTTTTTAAATTCAATAAAAAATATTATTGCAAGTGATGGAATTACAGATATCAAAGAATCTAACTCCAATACAGTATTCATGTCTTTATGGTTACGCTGCTGCCAAAAGAATATAAATTTAAGCTGCTTAAATAAAAAGATTCTGGAATTCCAATACAAAAATTTAACCCTATTCAAATAATCTGTCAAAGCCGAGACTATCATTCCATTTTGCATGCTGTTATTTAGACAAATAAAACAACCTTTTTTCATAACACATTTGATTTCTTATCAAGAATCACAACATGTAGATGCTAATAGAATAACCATGTACAAGACAATCAAAATGATGATTTAACGTCTTACAAAATTAATTCGAAATAAAAGTGACAGCTTTTCTTTTTGTACAAGGCTTCTGCCTCAGGTTTCAACAGATCTGGGTCCGTTAGAGCTGATTTCATTTATAATGCCAAGTAAAACTTTCTGCAAAAACATGTTTACCACAGCATAAAGTTACGAAAACTGTTAGTGAGACATGATATTTTAACAGAATTAGTATTTTGTTATTCTTATACAAGTCTGTGATTGGATAAAATGGCATACATTATCTGTAACACATTTATGATAAAGGATTAAAATGTAAATGATTCTTTATTGATAGGTTTGTGATACCCGTGATAGATTTAAGCTATAGACAGTGATATCATGATTGATTTATAGCTCGCTTGACACATTAAAATGCAAATGGCAGGTTTTTCTTGGAATCACTTTACAGCCCATGTAGAAGATTTCAGCTGTTGATGGTAATTTCTTTTTGGTGATTGTGTTTATAATACAAAGCAGAATTTAACTGTAGATAGTGATTTTTTTGGTGATAGTTTTACGACACATGTGACAGATTTTGAGTGCCTCTCCACACTTGTTGCAGACACTGTGACCACACAGAAAGACCATGTCCCGTCGTCGTTCCATACAAATCGTACACAAGATGTTCTCCTCCATCTCCTGTAGGCGGCGCTGTAGTACATTTGATTCCGAGTCCGTCGAACGAGAATTACCATGAATCTGTAGTTTTGATCCATCTGAAATCATATTTATGATACATATACATATTTTTATTGATATCTTTCTGTATTCATAAACAAAAATTTCCAAATTTCAGCTGAAGATGACATAAATTAATCAAAGAATGAGTATCTGCCTCTGTAATGATCAGACATGTATTTATGCTATGAATTATTAACATTATCTTGAGTAAAATGAAGAATTCATCTTCAAGACCTTAAAGAAATGTTGGAAACAAACTTCAAATGTTATGTTATAAACAGACCATTGGTGACCACCCAATAAAACTCTTAATATACCAGACAAATTTATACCTTTTTAAGAGTTCTGAAGAAGTAACGATAACAAACTTCAAATATTTTTGACAGAAAATCATAAAATTATGGTAATATAAGAATTAATTGGACACATTTCAATATTATGAATTTTATTATAATGTCACATAATTGTTTAATATCAAGAAGAGACACCATCAAGTTACCTTTGGAGACTTTGGCTTCAATGTTGACTTTACAAGTCAGACAACGCTTTGGTTTTACACTACATTCCTGACAAGTGATCATGTGTTCACAGGGTAGAAACTTGATGCATGCCATTTGTTCTGAACACACTACACATTCAATATCTCCATCGCCGGCTGACTGCATCTCAGACCTTGACCCAGAAGCACTGAAAAAATAAGTCACTTGATCAAGATTATGATATGATTTTGGGATTTTGATCAACTTTCAAATTTGAGAACTATTTTCCAAATTAATCTACAAGTGAAAATCTCTTTCACATTCTTTACGGTGCTCATTGAGAATAATTATCACCTAGAAGTTCCAATTTGTACCCGATCTTCCGAGCTGATTGCAATAGACCATAACAAGCCCTACCTCAAAATCTTATCCAGGTTTGCCCCTGGAAAGTGACTTATAGAGAATAAAAAAAACAAATATCTAGAAGGGAATGTGAACATCAGTAAAAATGAGACCTTCTGATTTGAATTTGAGTATGTTTATATAAATAACTTTAAAGGGATAGGATACTCTGAATAGAAAAACTGACTGAGTGACTTTAAAAACAATACAGAGCTTATCAAGTAACTGATAATGGTAAAAGTTGTACTTTGATGTGGCGAACTGTTTTATCAGATCCTCTGTGCGTTGGTCACTGATAACATCCATAGGAGTCTTGCCCTGGTGGTTTTTCTGTGTGAGTTTCGCTCCTTGCTGAGCAAGATAACAAGCAATTGCTGGCCCCATTTGTTCATCGTCTTCTGTCATGCCTAGCTGGACGCGAATCTAATGAAAACGAATGTTTTGTTATCATATTGATTTAAATGTGTGTTTCCCATTGTGAGAATTGGTCCACAAACACATTGCAACTTCCCAACATTGAACCTTCTCTAAACCGATCACCACTTCAAACCAAAGGAAATAGTAATGTACAGAATGATGTCCTCTTTATTACAGTAATATAAACATGCCCTATGCTGATCCCTCTCAATTCTGAATACCAGGCTGATGTTGTGTCCGAAATGGTCGAAACATTCTGAAATTCACTTTTGAAAATGAGCCTTACCTGACCAATCAAGACCCAAGCTCTGACAAGCAGACTGTGAAATTAACACCTGTGGTAACGAATGAAAACAATGCCCCCCACCCACTCTTCCCCAGGATTGCGAGGATTATACTAAACCTAATGTATAGTTATATTCCAATAATAAATTGAAACCATACTGAACGAGTTCATCGTTTCAACAAAGCAAGAAACAGATACAGATAAAGTGAAAATGAGTACTGATGCAGAGTTAGAAAGCCACAGTTTCGCATTGTGAGTAATTGAATGTTAACTTTCAGACAAGCTGACCATCTGACTGGAGCTATGTCTGGCCATATGTAACGAAACATTATTTCCAAGATTGCCGGCTAATGTGCCTATTTCCTTCTGATTTAAGCCACAAATAGAATACAACAACTATCACTGTATTTTACTATATGAAATTTTTTCTGTAATACTGAATGATAAATGTAATGTAAAGAATGGAATCAATTCAATTATATCAATCTGGACCTAACAATTTGCTACAAACCTTCCCTAACCCTGCCAAATATTCATGTCCCATGGTCATTTTGAATAAGTTCTACTGTATTTGATCAAGGAAACCCTAGAATGTTACTATGGTGTATTATTGATGATGCTGTCTGATACTCTTGAGAAAACCAAGCTATAAAATTTCATGCATATTACATGCATGCATATTATATCTATAAAATGGTTGATGAGAGACAGTGATCAAGACTGCATGTTATTTTTAATTTTAAAGTTTAAAGTTTGTTTAAAATTTGAAGTAAAGGCATAGGAAGGGAAGATTTTTGGTACGGTTTTCATGATTCGTTTTGTTCCTAATGGGCGAAAACCTATCAAGGATCATGGGTCTAAGATGATTATAATGGGATTAAGCATATACAATACATATTGTATCACAACATCAGTATGGTGAATTGGTTGCCGATACACAGGTCTATCTACAATTTTAATACGTCTTCAATCTTTCAATCATTGCCTACTTACACTTTGAAAAGGAAACTTTATCTTACTTTTTACTCTATATTGGTGTTATAAATGTGAGTATCTTTAAAACATATATTTGAAGATGAATGACGATATAATATCTTTACGTTCAAATTAATCATTTTCTTTGGACAGAAGAAGGGAGACAACTCACAGCATCCAACATTGGACTATTTTCCTTCTCCGTGGCAACAGTCTGTCTCATAAGGGCAAGATGGAGGCATGTGTCACCATCCTCGTCCATCACGTTGACATCTGCTCCACATACCACTAGGAGCTCAATGATAGAAGTGTGGCCCTGAGACACGGCCAGTAACAGAGGGGTCTGTTGTCGGTTATTACGATTCTCTATATCTGCATGACCCTGTCAACAAGGATCACATCAGAATATTTATAACATTGTTTGAATGTTAACCACTGATTTCCCCAACATGCAGTACTGTATAAGGGGCAATAATAGTGGAAGAAATATTTAGCATTTTGCACTTCAAAACTTGTCAATTAAAATTTCATTTAATGTTCATAAGGATTGATATAAAGATACATACCATACACTCATTAAACATGAATATGTTGTTAAAATTTCCAAAAACAGCTTAAATCATTCCTGTAGATCTGTGTAAAATGGAAGTTTGTAATTGCTGTCTGAGACTATCTGAGTTGGTGTTAATGTTACATATTGGATATTACATACCTGTGTTATAAGTGTATTTGTCACCTCCTTATGTCCATTTAGAGCGGCAAGGTGAAGGGCAGAAAATCCATCATCTTTCTTTATATCTACTATTTGTCGACATTTAGTAAGAATTTTCTCTGTTGCACTGTAATACAAATATATATTCTGATACATGTATTGTAAAAATATCATAAAATCCTATCACACTTTGTCCAAAATTCCACATAAAGAGGTATCTTATTTATCACAACCATAGATATGGTTGATCAACTGAATCTTGCTTACACTCATACATTTAACACCAGTAACAAGAATGTTTTCTGACATTCCAAAGGAATTATTATGGTATTTGCTGATCGCTGGAGTAGCTCTTGTTTTATGCTTTGACCAGTTGGACTACAATTGTTCATTTATGAATCTAAGCCTAAGGTTTGTCATACTTTCTGCAAGTCTATCCCTATTTATACTTAAAATGTTAAATCTGAAATCTTAATGAACCAGTTAATTCAAAATGAAAGCAGTCCAGGCATTATTGTAGGATATTTATGATAATGATAAACCCATTACTGAAATCGTAAGTAATCTCAATACTCATGTTCTTACAAGTTGTTTCCTTTAAGTGCAGCGTGATGTAGCACATTAAATCCTCTCTTGTTTCTTAGTGTGAAATCAATCACATTAACATTCACCAGCAGTTCAATAATCTCCCGGTTCTCTTTACCAATCGCATCGTGTAGGGCAGTGTCTTCATATGAATCCTACACATTTAAGAAGAGTCCATGGTTGAAAAATCTCACAAAAGCCTCGATTATTATGCCATAAATGTAACAGTATGACCATTAAGATCATTATACGTCAACTTTATTGTAAGTATGATTTATTTTCTTGAATTTAGTGATCAAAACAAATTTTCTCAAGTCAACAAAGATTATAATATAGCATGGTATAGTTTACAGAAGTTAATCTCTGCAACAAATGGCGAATTGCTTAGTTAGCAGCTGTTTAAAAGGGTTGGTAAACAGTATTAATTTTATTCACAAGACAAACATGATGCATACAAGATTTTTTAAGCCTAAATCCCCAAGTTATGTTAATACCGCCTATTCATCAAATTCATTTCCATGTAAACTTCAACCATTATTCCTTGAATGTTGTACTTGCAATACAGTACAATAAAAACAAGAGGCCCATGGGCCTTAACGGTCATCTGACAAAAAGCAAGCCAAACCTAGAAAGTGGGTTGAGGTCATTCATTTGAACAAACTTGGTAGCCTCTCCTCCAAGCATCTTACAGGCCCAATATCAGCACTCATGGACTTTTGCTTGTTGAGAAGAAGTCGTTTGTATATTTTAACATATTTGACCCCTGTGACCTTGAAAGTGGGTTGAGGTCATTCATTTGAATAAACTTGGTAGCCTTTCCTCCCAGCATGCTACAGGCCCAATATCTGCACTCATAGACTTTTGCTTATTGAGATGAAGTCCTTTGTATATTTTAACATATTTGACCCCTGTGACCTTGAAAGTGGGCCAAGGTCATTCATTTGAACAAACTTTGTAGGGCTCCATGCCAGCATGCTATGGGCCAAGTATTAGCCCCCTAGGCCTTCTAGTATTTGAGAAGAAGTTATTTAAAGATTTTGACATATTTGACCCCTGCGACCTTGAAAGTTGTTCAAGGTCATTCATTTAAATAAACATGGTAGCCTTTCCTCCCAGCATGCTACAGACCCAATATCGGCACTCATAGACTTTTGCTTATTGAGATGAAGTCCTTTGTATATTTTAACATATTTGACCCCTGTGACCTTGAAAGTGGGCCAAGGTCATTCATTTGAACAAACTTTGTAGGGCTCCATGCCAGCATGCTATGGGCCAAGTATTAGCCCCCTAGGCCTTCTAGTATTTGAGAAGAAGTTATTTAAAGATTTTGACATATTTGACCCCTGTGACCTTGAAAGTTGTTCAAGGTCATTCATTTAAACAAACTTGATAGCCCTTCATCCCAGCATGCCACAGGCACAATATCAGCAATCTGAGCCTTTTGGTTATTGAGAAGTTGTTTAAAGATTTTAACATATTTGACCCCTGTGACCTTGAAAGTGGGCCAAGGTCATTCATTTGAACAAACTTTGTAGGGCTCCATGCCAGCATGCTATGGGCCAAGTATTAACCCCCTAGGCCTTCTAGTATTTGAGAAGAAGTTATTTAAAGATTTTGACATATTTGACCCCTGCGACCTTGAAAGTTGTTCAAGGTCATTCATTTAAATAAACATGGTAGCCTTTCCTCCCAGCATGCTACAGACCCAATATCGGCACTCATAGACTTTTGCTTATTGAGATGAAGTCCTTTGTATATTTTAACATATTTGACCCCTGTGACCTTGAAAGTGGGCCAAGGTCATTCATTTGAACAAACTTTGTAGGGCTCCATGCCAGCATGCTTTGGGCCAAGTATTAGCCCCCTAGGCCTTCTAGTATTTGAGAAGAAGTTATTTAAAGATTTTGACATATTTGACCCCTGTGACCTTGAAAGTTGTTCAAGGTCATTCATTTAAACAAACTTGATAGCCCTTCATCCCAGCATGCCACAGGCACAATATCAGCAATCTGAGCCTTTTGGTTATTGAGAAGAAGTTGTTTAAAGATTTTAACATATTTGACCCCTGTGACCTTTAAAGTGGGTCAAGGTCATTCATTTGAACAAACTTGGTAGTCCTTCATCCCAGCATGTCACAGGCCCAATATCTACACTCTGAGCCTTTTGGTTAATGAGAAGAAGTTGTTTAAAGATTTTAACATATTTGACCCCTGTGACCTTTAAAGTGGGTCAAGGTCATTCATTTGAACAAACTTGGTAGAGCTCCATGCCAGTATCCTCTGTGCCAAGTATTAGCCCCCTAGACCTTCTAGTATTTGAGAAGAAGTCGTTTGAATGAAAAGTTTACGGACGGTGCACGGCGGACGACGACGGACGAAGCATGATGACTATAGGTCATCGGACCCTTCGGGTCAGATGACCTAAAAAAGCAAAAGTGTAAGATATACCTGTATGTTCACATTGCATTGATCATGTGAGAGAAGAATTTTAACACAGTCAACATGCTGTTTGTTCACGGCCACATGAAGAGTACTACAGCCACCATTGTTTAGAGAGTTAATATGAACATTCTGTCTCAATAGTAGACGCATTACTTCCGCCTGGTTCCTGTAAAAGACAATACCCAAAACTGAATGAAGTGTAAGTAAATCATACGCTAAATATGAGTATGAGCCACAAGGGAAGTATTCCGTGTTTACACTTCTCATTTCAATATATTTAGCATGGTGTTTGGAAACTTTAGCAGGATGATTAATAACAGATCTTTATAAAAGGCTTTCCAAGTGCAGCTAGACACATTGTCAGGTAAGAATCTTTTGATTGGCACACATTTCTTATGCTAAGCGTCATCTTATATGAAAAGGCAATCTTTGAAAACTGTTAACATTATGTTACAGCTATTGCCAAAGCATAAAAATGCATATGTGAGGTACTGACCCAAATGCTGAGTAGTGGAGAGCAGAGTCTCCATCTTCGTCCTGGAGCTCGAGGTTGGCTCCAGCATGAAGCAGAATCTGTACAATTTCTGTGTGTCCTTGATGACTGGCCACCTGTAGAGCTGTCTTACCTGAACTTTTCATGTCCACCTACATGTTATGGTAAATTAAAATCATCCATGAAACGCCATAAATGATGATACAACTTTTGGTTTCTACAAATGATATTTATATATCATACAATTACTGACAATGGCTGAGTTGGATATGCATATTAACGAACCTGTAGATCGGATTATCAACCTTTGATAATGTAAATATTCACCAAAGATACAGATATTTTTTCTTTATCTTTAAATCCAAAGTCCATAATGTCCAGCATCATTGCTGCCAAAATCATGACACCATGAACAAAAGAAAGATCTTACAAAAAGTAAGTAAGTACAAGATGGCAACAGTACAGAATTTTGATTCATCTTTTGACCAAATGACTGATATAAATATAAAACTGTATCTATTTTACAAGTTACACTGATCATGCTTTTAGACCCAAACTCAAAGTCAGAGTACCCATTAAAAACCATTCTTTCTATAATTGACGAAATTAATATGTTTAATAGCTTTATCAAGCCTTTCTGTGTCTGGAATTTTACTAACTTTATCAAGACATTTATAAATTTTATCTGGAAGTTAATAAACTACAGTTGGATGTTTACAGACCTAACCTTAAAGTTTGCTATGTTTATTTAGGAGTTGATGATGTTATCTGGGCATTCATTGTCTTTATCTGGTGTTTACCTACTTTATCTGGGTGCCTATGACTTTATCTGTGTGATAGTTGGCCTTATTTGGATGTTTTATTACTTATCTGTGTGATAAATGGCCTTTCCTTAGTGTTTATGACTTTCTCTGTGTGATAAAGGATTTATCTGGGTGTTTATGACTTTATCTGTGTGATAACTGACCTTATCTGGGTGGTCAGGACTTTATCTGTGTGATAACTGACCTTATCTGGTTGGTCAGGACTTTATCTGTGTGATAACTGACTTTATCTGGGTTTTTATGACTTGATCTGTGTGATAACTGACTTAATCTGGGTCTTTATGGCTTTATCTGTGTGATAACTGACCTTAGCAAGATGTTTGTGACTTTATCTGTGATAACTGACTTTATCTGGGTGTTTTATGACTTTATCTGTGTGATAACTGATTTGATCTTGGTGTTTATGACTTTATCTGTGTGATAACTGATTTGATCTTGGTGTTTATGACTTTATCTGTGTGATAACTGACTTGATCTGGGTGTTTATGACTTTATCTGTGTGATAACTGATTTTATCTGTGTGATAACTGACTTTATCTGGGTGTTAATGACTTTATCTGTGAGATAACTGACTTTATCTGTGTGATAACTGACTTTATCTGGGTGTTTATGACTTTATCTGTGAGATAACTGATTTTATCTTGGTGTTTATGACTTTATCTGTGAGATAACTGACTTTATCTGTGTGATAACTGACTTGATCTGGGTTTTTATGACTTGATCTGTGTGATAACTGACTTTATCTGGGTGTTAATGACTTTATCTGTGAGATAACTGACTTTATCTGTGTGATAACTGACTTTATCTGGGTGTTAATGACTTTATCTGTGAGATAACTGACTTTATCTGTGTGATAACTGACTTTATCTGGGTGTTCAGGACTTTATCTGTGAGATAACTGACTTGATCTGGGTGTTAATGACTTTATCTGTGAGATAACTGACCTTATCTGGTTGGTCAGGACTTTATCTGTGAGATAACTGACTTTATCTGTGTGATAACTGACTTTATCTGGGTGTTTATGACTTCATCAGTGAGATATCTGACTTTATCTGTGTGATAACTGACTTTATCTGGGTGTTTATGACTTCATCTGTGAGATAACTGACTTTATCTGTGTGATAACTGACTTTATCTGTGTGATAACTGACTTGATCTGGGTGTTTATGACTTTATCTGTGAGATAGCTGACTTGATCTGGGGGTTTATGACTTTTTTCTGTGAGATAACTGACTTTATCTGGGTTTTTATGACTTGATCTGTGTGATAACTGACTTTATCTGGGTGTTTATGACTTTATCTGTGAGATAACTGACTTTATCTGTGTGATAACTGACCTTATCTGGTTGGTCAGGACTTTATCTGTGAGATAGCTGACTTGATCTGGGGGTTTATGACTTTTTCTGTGAGATAACTGACTTTATCTTGGTGTTTATGTCTTTATCTGTGTGATAACTGACTTTATCTGGGTGTTTATGACTTTTTCTGTGAGATAACTGACTTGATCTGGGGGTTTATGACTTTTTCTGTGAGATAACTGACTTGATCTGGGGGTTTATGACTTTTTCTGTGAGATAACTGACTTGATCTGGGGGTTTATGACTTTTTCTGTGAGATAACTGACCTTATCTGGATGTTTACTGACAATCTCCCTGACGATATCAGTGTGACCTTGAGCAGCCTCCCTCACTAGTCTGTCTGGTCCTGAGTCCAAGGATTTTATTTCCATTAGCTGTTCCAATAGGGATGTCAAACTCGCTGTAAACAAAGATGTTTTCATCATAAGGTCCTCATTATCAGATAGATAATAAGAGTTATACTGAGCTACTTTTTATGTGATTCAATATACATACACAATAATGATCCAATGGTCAGCTGGTAATACTTATGGGGGATTTCATTTTGCTATATTTGCAGATAAAAATAGCACACAATTAACTACCTAGCAATAATTTTTCACAGTGAATCGAAACATCTAAACCATGGTGGGTGTAGTAGATGATGCTTCAGATACTATTTCTTCCAGAAAACACCTGGTCTTATTATCTTTGTATTTTTTTCAGGAGTCCTCATGTAATATTTTATCCTCGTTTTATTGAATTTGAGGCTGAATATAATTCTGTCAACAAGCTGATATTTTCTTGTTATTACTGTATAAATGGAATGTAAATGCCATCCTACTTTTCACAATGTAATAACCATAAATTAGTCACAATATCCAGAAATACATGATAATCAACTTGTGACATTATACAACTAAAGAAATCTAAAATCTTGATGGCACAGGCGACCCCTGACCTATGTAGCCCAAACCCAACAAATAATCTCTAACTTATACCTATTCCCTAATGCCATCTCCCACTCAGGTGCTGACCTTTGACCTTTACTTACCCCCTGATGCCTCCTCCCTCTCAGGTGCAGCTCCGTTGGTGTTGTTAACATTTGAATGTGAATGCTGAGCTAGTGTACAGCAGGCAGGGTTCAAGGTCCATGTCTGACCAGCAGACACAGACACTCTTAGGTCCCCATCTGGATAGACCTTCAGCACACGACCCGTCTTCCCAAGGGCCTACAACAGGGGAGACAACTTCTGGTTTAAAGGTAAAAGTTGATGTTTCAATACTTAAAGGAGAAAATAACACTGAACAAAATATAATCTATATACTCTGAACTATCAGGACTTTAAACAAGCGACTTAGTGGCCTTGACAGTCACCTGAGATGAACAATATTTAATATCAAGGTTGTTGAGTAAGTAGCTTCCAAGTGCAACATTAACGATAATAAAACTTCAGTAATATGTTTTAAGCCCTTGGGGTCAACCTCAGGCCTATGGGGAATGGGGACCATATAATTCACTACTCTTGTTCATCTTTGGCCAGGAAAGGTTTTTAAAAAAAGTTCATTGATTTCTGTTCAGAGATTTTAGAGAAGTCAAAAATGTTAAAAGTTTATGGATGCACAATGCTGGACAAAAGGCTTTCACAATAGGACACCAAGAGACTTTGTCTCAGATGAAAAAAAACTGTATATTTACGACTCTAAATTCCTCAAATCAAGAGCTGTGATTGTCTCTATTTGTTACTGAGGTTTTTTTTCTTTATTTACTACAGAGTTTTTTACACTGATAAGAATTATCACGGAGAAAAACAAAGATAAATCAACAAGAGAAGTATGGAAAGACATCAACCCCATTCAAAATTCTGACACATAATGCAAGTTTGCAAAATTTAAGTATTAATTTGTTGATCATCCCAGTAACAGCAAAGGTTATTTTGAGGTAGGGTCTCCTTGCAGAAGCTAGTGGCTACTTCAATGAAAAACATATGGGAGACTTGAAGCATGCCATCCAGAGAAATTGTGATAAGTGTTTACCCAAAGGCCACGAAAACACAGACCAATCTGTTTCTCAGCTTCCTGAGGAATACAAACCACCACAAGTACAGGAAAATTAATAGGAAAACATTAAATGACATTTCTCAGTCAATATACTGACCGGTCGCATGTTTTCTGACCACTCGCCATGACCCTTCTGTAGTTCCTTTACAATGTGTATGTCCTGTGATATCTTAACAATATCATTTAAAGCAAACAAGTGCACCTGTCAAAATAAAATTCCATAAAAATATGGTATCTAATGTTGCTGAATGATGGTTAATAACTGCATTTTCAATCTTAGATTAAGCGTGACTGATAAATGAGGGAGGAAAGTTTATCTCTCAGAACCTGTTTGGTGTTCTTTCTAGTGATGGGAAATAAGTTATAAATCCCAAATTGATTATGAGTTAAAAGTTGGTTGGCTTTATAGCGTAATTAGCCATCTACATAATTGACTGATTTAGTCAATATTCATAGAAAGTGAATGCATTCTCTGTTGCAGTAATGTTAATTTTTGATAACTTGGGACTTAAGTGCCATGATTTCCAAGAAATTGCATATGAATGAAATGCATCAATTAGCATCTTCACGTGCAGTATCAAATTAGTTTTAATGAAAATGGAAAATTTTAAGGAATAGATGATCATGAAGAAATTACAAACCCAAATCATATCAACGAATAAGATAACAGATAGTTCCTTCTACCTAAATACGTTGAGTTTGCTTTTCTGTTCATCTAGCTGCATCTAACTTACATCAAAAAACTATTTCCATGATGACCTAAATCCTCTTTCATAAACATGTGGAAAGTCTTTAGCAGAAAACTACTGTTGTTGTGATATCACATAACCAGATTTCAACATGAATATGAATCTCTCGATGAAAACTTTGTTTTACCTTGGTCAAGGCTCCCGCATGAAATGTCCACCGGTTACTACATCCTTCATACTGAACCCTTACATCTCCTCGGTCTGTGATTCGATGGACAGAACCTATCTTGCCAATGTACTGAAAACCAGCAAAATGATTTAAATCCTTCAAACCTTGCATCACCAGGGCTTTATATTGTCTTCAAAAATGGTTACTGTAAATCATATCTCGTGTGGGATTTATTTTCATGCTAATATGCGATGAGAGTCAATCGTAAATTAAAATTTCTCACTATTATTTGTACTTACATACCTCTGGATGGCATCCATACTGATTTGCAATTTGTGAATTTTAAACTCATTGCTAGATAAGCGTTCCTGACATCATGTATTCACAAATATGTATTCGCTAAATGTAAGTGATTTACGATTCAGTTCTTAGAATAGCATTCATCTGTCAAAGTCAAAATGACATAAAAAAAACTTTAAGGTACAAAAACCTTTTAATAATACCATGTAAAGCTTAAAGGTTTTTTCAGGTATCATTAACATTATCTGTTCCCTTGTACCTACTATATGTAAGTCCTTGTTCTTATACATGTCAAAAGATCATAAATCTAAGATCCATTAACTGCACTGATATTCATCAAGTGGGTGGAGTACCTATACCATCAAAATGTAGGCCACTCTGTCACAAAAACTATTATCCTATATCTGAGTAGCCATGCTCACTAATGGGGTGAATTTAGATCAAACAAACATCTGTACAAGTATGATGACAAACTATTTTTTAATTTAATGAATTCTATCTAAACTACATCTTAAAATCAATCCTTTTCCTTATATCTATATCATGATTACAATATACCCTAGTCTTTTTGGTACCTCCACCATACTTTGGTTCCAATCACCTCATTATTGTATCTGATATACATGAATTCTCTACACATGATTTCAATGTATTCTTTAAATCATTATCTGGACCATTATAAATCCAATTGTACTCATACCTCTGCCATACGTGGGTTCCAGCCACCATGACCTTCCTGCATAGCCTTCAGGATATCTGCTTCAAGGTCAACCTTAACCTTGTCTCCGACCTTGAACTGACACTGCACACCTCCTGATGTCACTATATCAGGGAACTCTCCTGTAGAGTAGAATAAAACACACAATAAAGGCCCTAGATATCACACAGTGTAGAAGTAGAACGTTTGAACATAATAGCGTTAAGAAGAGCAAAGAGGGTATGACTATTTTTACTTTCTAAACACTGACATTGAAAAGAAAACAACATACTAACATAACTTAATATTGTTTAGATTTAATGAAACAGTTATTGAAGTAAGCTTTAAATCCACCAGTCTTGTTCAAAAGTTTCATAGATTTCTATGAGATCTTAGAAGACAGTCTTGTTTCTGACTGCCTGACTCCATACCCCTGAAGATGTTACATATGTTTCACTGATTTGTCTACTGTTTTAGAGGGAACAATTTCTGTCAAAATCACATGTATGACAAATTACACTAAGCACTTAAACCAGATGTACATGTCCCTCATGGACTATTGTTTGTCTATACACATTATCATCAACAGTTGGAATATGCAATAATTGAAAATGGGGAAAAAATGAATCCCTATCTTGTCAGTGTGATGATTCAATTTCAAATTTTCTAGACAAATACACAAAAGTAAAACTCTTGGCAGGGCCTGAGGTTGGTCATTCGTGGGTTGTAAATTTTTTGTGATACCTCTAAGATAGGGAAAGATTCTTTTAACCTACCCAGAACAGGAAGGTGCTCCTTGTAGTAAGATGGTCCATTGGCAGCACTGATGTATTTCAGGTCCACTTTACCCTTGTGTCCTACACGGTAAACATTGGTAGACCCAGAAGTCCATGTAACATGGGCGACACTTCTCCCTGATTCGGAGTCCCAACCTCGTATATCTGTCACCTTGCCTATTTTTCCTTCTCCGCCTGTATGTTGAGATTCATTTCCAAACATTCAATCAGGTCAAATAACCAGATGAAAATGAATTTAATGGTTTTTCATATCATTGTCTATAAAAGTTACATGCATTTAAGAAATACCTGTCTATAAAGGTAACTGATTTCAGGTACCCAAGTTTTACAATTCATAACAGTAATAGGACTGCTGTAATGTCAGCTGTATATAATCAATTCCTGTCTATACTTAAGGTACCCTGTATATGGCATATACCTGTCTATAAATGTCACCTTTACATAAAAATATCTCTCAATAATTAAAAATACCTGCACATAACAAATACCTGTCTATACAGGTCCCTTGTAAAGGTTACCTGTCTGTATTTAACAAATACCTGTCTATAAATGGCACCTGTATATAAACAAATCTTACTATAATTAAGGTTTCCTGTGTATAACAAATACCTATCTATAAATGTCACTTGTATATAAAAATTCTTACAATAATTAAGGACACCTGTGTATAACAAATACCTGTTTGTTAAGGTCATCTGTGTATAACAAATACCTGTCACTTTATATGGTAACTACCTATTTATAATTGCAGTTACATGTATATAGAAAAACACCTGTCTGTAAAGGTCAGCTGTAATACCTGTCTGTAAAGGACACGTGTGTAACAAATTCATGTCTATAAAGGTTACTAATTTCAGGTACCAATGTTTTACAATACATAACAGTAATAGGATCTCTGTACAAAGGCTAGCTGCTTATAGGGCACTTTTCTGTCATATTTTTATAGACAGATTTGACTATACATAGGTGTGATTCAAATCCTGAATTTAAATATGGTGAAATAATGAAATGAAACAAATCAATTTTTGATAACACTCAGGGATAGTCTATATTATTCTGACATTCTATTGACTTTTTTCCATATCAGTCTGGAGTTGCTGAACATCAGAACTCCAGCTCTATATAAAGTGAAGGAAACAAGAAACCTGCATGTGGGTCTGCATTTGAACAATTATTGCTGAAAGAAAGTGTCATTTCCGCATGTATATTGCAAATGAATCGAAAGGTCTGTTCCTTATCTACAATATTTTTAAAAAGAACTTGCCTCATTATACCAATACACTCAATGAACGTAAAATAAAGCTGAGAGCACATTTTTTCCAGGACTGATTGATAAGCTGCGAGCCTCATATCTAAGGATCTGACTTTTGGCGGACATACTGCATTTTTTAAAAATATAATCCCCTTCAGTATCTACGCACTTTTGCCAGCAATGTTTAAGGGTCACAATGCCACTTTTAAAGAAGTCCTTTTCTTGACCATTCAGAAAGTCTGCCACTGCATGTATGATGTCATCATCTGACTGAATGTGGGTACCAGAAAAGGCCTTTTTCAATTTTCGAAATAGATGAAAATCTGATGGAGCGAGATCAGGTGAATAAGGCAGATGATCAATCAATTCAAAGCCACAATCTTTAATGGCTGCCATGGCAATGGCATACTTATGAATAGGAACATTGTCCTGGTGGAACAACAAACCTTTACTGACTTTTCTGCAGCACTTGTGTTTACGTTTCCTCTTAACTGCCTAGCTAAGAAGCAATGCATAATATGTGCCATTGATTGTTAATCCCTTTTGCAAATAATCTACTGTCAGAATACCATCAGCATCCCAGAAAAAAATTAAGGCCATAACCTTTCAAGCTGATGAACAGTGTTTACCTTCTTTGACGGGGGTGAACCAGGGTGCTTCCATTGTTAAGACTGTTGTTTGGCCCCTGGGGTGAAATGATGGATCCACATTTCAGCCATAGTCACAAATCTCTGCAGAAGATAGCAGGATCTGCCTCTAAAATGTTCAGATTATCAAGCTAAGAATTCCGCCTGGTGTGCTTCTGATCAACTGTCAGAAGTCTTGGTACCCAACGGGCTGAGAACTTTGTCATTGCAAGATCTTCCAGAAAAGAATTAAATATACTTTTTCATGTGAAATCCCAACTGTACTGGCTATATATCTCTCTGTATTTCACCTGTCAGCCATAACAGTTATCATTGACTTTATTCACCATTTATGGGGTTGTAACAGTGACAGGCCTTCCAGGATGGGCGTCATCCCCAAGGCTCTGCTTGCTTGGCTAAAATTCTGCCATCCATTTTTTCACTATGACATATGAAGGGGCATCATCCCGTAGTGTTGCTACCACATCAATATGAATATCCATAGGTGCTAGACCTTTTTTACCATTAAATATTGAAATACAGTACTGCTCTTTCAGAGATTTTGTCCATTTTGCAAAATTCACTCGCCTTGTTTGCATTACAGTGCTACCGCTTTGACATAAATTGATCAAATGACACCAGTCTTTGGGTACACAGCCTTAAAAAGTCGAGGAATAGCAGAGATTTAAGAAGGACACCTCTTCTTAACTTCTTCAATACAAGGCTCACAACTTATCAATCCAATCAGCCCTCATATATTTGTCCTGGTTATTTTTTTTACAATATACATATTAACTTTTCGGGAAATACCTTGGGTATCATGGAATCTCATTAAGTCACAGGGTTAAGTTCCTGCATAATTTCCATCAAAATATGGGTAGATACAGACTTTTCAACTCATCTGAGATATGCATGTGAAAAAGACGATTTATTTCCATAATTATTGTTTTAACACAGACTCAGGTGTGTGGGTTACTGACTGCCCTAACCTTATGAGGCCGGAGCTCTATGTTGATGGACTCCAAACCATTTATACAGGATTGATTCTTCTTAACCCAAACATTAGTCCAGCCAAATTGGAACAACAAAATGTGCTCCATTTCCACTATACGGCCCTGTACCTCCTGCCCCAAAGGGTCAAAATTTAAAGTTCATACAGAACAGATTCCTATTCACAAAGGATGCTTCAGATCAAATGTGGGCAGAATCCAATCATTCCTAAAAGATGTGTAGGATTTTAAGGAATGTGCTTTATTTTCCTTATTGGGTCCCACTCCTCTGGCTCTCTTGCTCCTAGGAGGGTCAGACCCACTGTTCATACAAAACTGACCCTCTTCACCCAAGCATGCTTCAGACTAAATTTGTGCAATATCTTACAATTCCTGAAAAACAAGATAGACCTTAAAGAAATTGGTAGACTTTCCCCATATGGTTCCCATCCTCTTGTCCCATGGGGATCAGACCCAACATTCACTATTTACGCAAAAACCAATTTCCTTGCACCCAAGCATGCTTCACACCAAATTTGGACAATATCCTGCAACTCCTAAGGAACAAGATAGATTTTAAAGAAATTAATATATTTTCCCTATTGAACCTCGCCCCTCAGGCTCCTTGGGGCCCAGATTCATTAATCAATACAAATTCCCCTTTCCTCAAGCATGCTACAGACAAAAAATTTAGTTAAAATCTGCTCAGGTGTTCATGACTAAAAGATATTCATAGGTAAGATGACAAACAATGGAAATGAACAATGCGATAAACCTACAACTCAATTGGTCCTTTGAGCTAAAAACTGTGACAGACCGGTAATGCTATGCCCCATGACCTCTCCACCCCATCCTTCCTACATATTCAAAAATTTCACAGAAGGGATATAAAATCCATGTCATTGTGTTGTCAGTGTTCCTATGCTGGGCACTGCTATGATCTGACAATGTGTTAGCTTACCATCCTGGTTAGCCCAGTCCCAGTCAGGGCCACGTAAAACCCTGGCACCTGGGAAGATTCCCCAGGATTGGATTTTGTTGCTGTTTACACTATCTTTCCTTTTTGGCATCTTCACTCTGAAAGGAAAGTTATCATTCCTGTATATCATAGCCAAAATGTTACCCTGGTATCTTCTCTCTAAAAGGAGATTCACCATTCCTGAAATTATTGCACCAATAGTTTACTTTCTAAGGCTAAAATATGACGATATGCCCTACAATATGTTGTACAATGTATGTGTACTCAAACCAAAAACTGTATATGCGATTTGTCCAATCATAAGCTCCTGTCTGCTAATGCTACTATAAAATCTTTCAATCAGATGTGTTGGACCCTAGGGCATATTTTAGGATAAATATTGTAATTAATGATTTAATAAACATGAAGAAGTTCTAATAATACATAATCCTGTAAATCTATCAGAATGATGATTTATCAACATCTCTGTAAATCTAGAAATGAGAAACAATCAGTATATTACATCTCACAGAAAAACCATGACATATCCACAAAATAACAAAACCTCTCCAGAATTAGAAGACAATACCCAGAAATGTAACAGTACTGTTTATATAAAGTAAACATTCTTTCTTTCAATAATATCTATAGCTATATTTTGTCTATCATGTTATAATACAATATTTGAACCTGTACATACCCTTTAGATGGTGACGTCTCAAACCTGAGAAAGGCGTGGCCAAGGTCATGTTTATCAGACATGTAACACTCTGTACAGAGGTCAAAGTCATGACACTTGGTGCACTTCCATCTCATCCCCTGGATTCCCTGCTTCTTACAGCCATCACAAATAATGTTAGGATGCTTTACACCTTAAATGATAAAGTTTATGAATACCGTACAAACTGTAACCACCAGTACATTATCTAAACCATTTGAAGTAGAAACTTTTCTACTCACAAAATGTCTAAATATTACAATTTTACAGATTATTAAAATCCAGTTTAAAAATCATTATTATGTATCCACTCAAGTTTTCTTGTCCAAAAATAAATTGTGCCCAATCTAAAACTGTATTACTTACAAATGGCACTGAAAGTTTCTTATTATAGCTGTAATTTTTTTTTAGGTCCCATGTTTGAGGTTTGTAGATTTTATGTCAAAACAATTGATCATCTCAAATATTTCCTATGAAATTACAAAATGGGTTAATAAAATCATTTAAGAAAATCATCCACCACCATGTTAAGCTACAATAATTCCCCTCTGGGTACAAGACGTGTATATATAAGTATTTGTGCGAAAAGGCATCAATGATCAACTCATTCAGTGATGACCGTCAACAAAAGTTAAGTGAGATTCACGGCTAAATCAAGAATTAAGAAAGATTCTCCACCAGACTTTAAATATCAATTTTTTTTTTAAACATGAAGGGGGACTGTACAGAATGCCGAGGTATTAGAGGCTATACAAACCTGTTGGGGCATTGTCCAGAATGTGGAGGTATTAGAGTTTATATAAACCTGCAGGGGGATTGTCCAGAATGTGGAGATATTAGAGGTTATATAAACCTGCAGGGGGATTGACCAGAGTATGGAGGTATTAGAGGCTATACAAACCTGTTGGGGCATTGTCCAGAACTCGAAGGTCATAGGCACCCTGATAACCCACTCTATAATTAGTGCGAGCTCCAGAATCCCACTGAACTACAACAGTTTTATCTGGAGAAGTGGAACTACTTGGCTTTCCTATCTCCACCACTGTGCCTACATGACCCTCTCCGTCATCCTGATTACCCCATTTCCAGTCTGGGCCGCGGACAGCCCGTAACCCCACTTCCATAGCCTGTCAAAGAAATTAAAAATCACAATAGTTTGATATATAATGCATTACCAATACCTTTACAAACATATTTTTGAAGAATTCGTTCATTTGGGTATATCTCTTTTCAGTTATAAATTCTCTTTACTGACTAAGGCTGCTGTGCAAATATTCTCATAGACATTGGTTTAAACTTTTCAACAAGGACTTAAATTTATTTATCACATATTGCCATATTTTACTGAAGTGTAACATGCTGTTTTAAATATTACATAACAAATGCACAACAATAACAACCCACTCTTACCAGTGACATCATACCGATGTCGAAAGACTGGCAGTAAAAAGAATAGTATATATGTTGTCTATCAAATGAATATACATATTAAAACATTGGCAGTGAACCTGATAACTATTTGAATTGTTTAGTGGAAGAAACTGTATTTGGATATTATCAGGAAGAAAGTATGCAATAGAAAAACGAGAAATATTTTTGTGTTCAGGTGACTGAAACACTACACCTTTGATAGTAGCTAAAAAAACGAAAAACCACAGGTTTCCTGGACATTTTGGGAAAATTCATATCCAGTATTAGTTGCTTCATGTAATACGACAGCGAGTTTAATGAAGTGAATCCTGACTGTACACTTATCTAAATAAATTCTGGAACATGTCAGAAACTACTTGAATCTTGTCACTTCCTACCTGCTGAATTTCTAATAAACATCCTCATTTATATCTCACAATATATGTGTGGCACTTCATTTCAGGGGACAATATGTCTTCTTTGACAAAGGAAACATTTGTTTTATAATTTAATAGATCAGGAACTTCTTAAAACAAAGGAAACGTTCCACTTCTTATTTCATAAAACGTGTGAAGGCTACAATGAATGTACCTAATCCACATGTCTTCATCACCTTACCCAAAATAAAATGCACAATACAAACTGTATTGAACATTAGTCAACAAAAAATTCCGATTTCAATCGAAATCTCAAAATGACCAGTTCAAGAATAATATGACTGTTTTAAAAACACAAAAACGACATAACAGGGAAAATCGACAAAAAATATTGGACCAGAAATGACAGACAAGAAACCCCTTCCATAAGGTCAAACCAATATTGCTATAAACTTTCTTAAATCGAACTTGCAGAATTTTGAATATCATTTTCTAAATCGTAAGGGTACGATATATACCTGTGAGGTTACAATAACACCGCTTCCTTGTGAAAGAACCCGTATTTCTAAAAACAGTACAGAAATACTTTCTCCAATATAAAATCCCGATATTCCAACCGGAAGCAGAATTGATTGTTCGCACTGAGAAAAATCAATGATTTGGTTTGCCAATATAAAATGTAAACAAAACAATAAATTATTATTAATGAAGAAATTAATAAATAAATGAACAAATGTACAGTAACTGAGTTTTTCATACAAATGATACGAAATCTTACTTTCTATATCTTTTATTTTCAGTGTAGGAACGGAAGCAATCTGAAAGGATTGTTTATCGCTGTTCCATTTTGTTGGTTGTCACCCCCTAGCCAATAACTGTAATCGGTGTTACATTAAGTCCACTTCGAATGATCATATAAAAGTTAACATCCCAATTCAAAAATAATTTTAAGATTAATAGAATGTGTACATATATGTGACATTTAATGATTAATTTTAGTATGCGAAACGATTAGTCATCGAAAATCATAAGAACCTTCTTTACACTTTCAGTAGTAGCAGTGAAATTCATGCAAAACCATGTTCGTTTTTTCGTAAATTATATTTTCATCAAATATTTGCACGATAACTTGTTTCCTTTTGTAGAAAAGTGCCAAAGAATCAACTCACGCGAATTTTTTTTATATACTGTAATACATTTTCGGAATCGATATTTCTGTCTCCCGTTCGAGCCTCAGTCTGACATCAGTCTTGGAGCACTGAAAATATTTGGACGCCATCTTGCAGAAGATAACTGATCATCATTGTGGGATTTTCCGTGAACATCTCCTTCCTTCGGGATGGAGGAGACCAAAATAATTTACTACATTGATGACGAGGATACTCCTTATTTGATAAAATTACCGATACCCGCCGATCGTGTCACTTTGGGGGATTTCAAGAATGCTTTGAACCGTCCAAATTATAAATTCTTTTTCAAGTCTGTGGATGACGATTTTGGGTAAGTGATAAAACGAGAGACATTTGAAGGGGATTCAAATTTTGGTATGTTACACTCAGGAACGTGCAGTTAATCTTTGTATGTGTGAATTTCGACGATATAATCGATGTCGATGTTGCATTAGCAGTCTTTGTTTCGTGCTGCAGAAGTAGACATCGTCGGCAAGTGCAAGGTCATTTGAAATCTATGATACAGTGTATTAAAATGGAATAGAGCCGATCTCACGGGCGAGTCGGATATATCTACTGTGAGGCTATCAAAACACGATGTCAAAGAATAACAAGAAGAGTTTTTATAATCATATTATCATATATTTGAACAGCTTAAGCTTCAGTCGACACGCCACGAAGTCACACCATGTGTATATTTCCATGTTTTGAGTGACAGGTG